CATAGTGTGACAACCTCTGGGTCCATTCATGTTGTAGCAAATGGCATTATTTCATTTTAATGACTGAGTGATATTCCATTGTATATATGTACCATGTCTTCTTTATCCATTCCTCTGTTGATAGGCATTTAGGTTGCTTCCATGTCTTGGGTATTGTAAACAGTGCTTCAGTGAACACTGAGGTGCATGCATCCTTTCAGATCAGGTCTTTTCTCTGGATATCTACTCAGGATTAGGATTGTAGGGTCATGTGGTAGCTCTAGTTTTAGTTCTTTAAGGAATCTCCAAACTGTTCTCCATAGTAGCTATACCATGGTTTTGGTGTTTTCATAAGAGGTAAGCCTACATCCTTCTACTCCTCCATCTTGTCTCCACTCAAATTTTACTTTTATATTGTGTCCCTTAAGTAATTATTGTAGTTACTTGTTTTTACTGCCTTTGTCTTTTAACCTTCATACAAGTCTAATAAGTGACTAATCTATTACATTTACTAGATATTTACCTTTATCAGTGCGATGTTTACTTTCATATGTTTTGTTGCTAGTTAGCACCTTTTCTTTTCAGCTTAAATAGCCCCTTTAACATTTCTTATAACATTGGTTTAGAGGTGATGAACTCCTTTAACTCTTGCTTCTCTGGAAAACTCTACATCTCTCCTTCAGTTCTGAATTACAACTAAGCCAGGTTAGAATATTCTTATTTGGGAGTTTTTTCTTTTTCTTTTTTTCTTTCAGCATTTTGAATACAGACATACCTAGAGATACTGGGGGCGAGGGAGTGGTTAAGTTCCAGGCAACCAAAATAAAGGAAATATTGCAACAAAGCAAATCACACAAGTTTTTTTTTTTTTTTTTCCAGTACATATAAAAGTTATGTTTATACTGTAATCTATTAAGTGTGCAATGGCATTATACCTTTTTGAAAAGTACATACTGTAAGTAAAAAATACAAGACAAAAGCAATTACAGTGGTGATATAATTGGCCACTGATCACAGATCACTATAAGAAACATAATAATGAAAAAGTTTAAAATACTGTGAGAATTACCAAAACATGATACAGAGACATGAAGTGAACAGTTGCTCACTTCACTTTTTTACCAGTATACTTGGTAAACTCAGGTTGCCATCAGCCTTCAGTTGGTGGAAAAAACACAGTATTTGTGAAGGACAGTTAAACAAAAAGAAAGTGAGGTATGCCTATGTATTGTGCCATTCCCTTTTCACCTGAAGTTTTCTCATGAAAAATCTGCTCATCTTACGGGAGTTCCAACAAGTTGTTTCTCTGTTGCCACTTTTAATATTCTTTTCTTATATTTTCTTATATATATAATAAAATATATATATTTTAATTATTATGTGTCTTAAGGTCTTCTTTTGGTTCATCATATTTGGAACTCTCTGGGCTTCCTGACTCTTGATGTCTATTTCTTTCCCCGAGTTAGGGAAATCTGCAGCCAATATTTCTTCACATGAGTCTTCTACCCTCCTCTTCTGTGCGTCCAATAGTGTGAATATTAATCCACTTGAGATTGTTTCATGAGTCCCTTAAGCTATCTTCAGTTTTTTTGATACCTTTTTGTTTCTTCTGCTTTGATTGGGTGAGTTCATCTGCCTTGTTTTTGAGTTCATTGATCCTTCCTTCTCCTTTACCTAATGTGTTGTTGAACTCTTCCAGACCATTTTTCAATTCCATTATTGTATTCTTCAAGTCTGTGGCTTCTATTTAATACTTTCTTATATTTTTTATCTTTGCTGAAATTCTCACTGTGCTCATCTATTCTCCTCCCTAGTTCAATGAGCACGTTTAAGAGCATTACTTTGAACTCTTTCTCTGGTAAATCACCTGTTTTTCATTAAAATTTTCTTCTGAAGTTTTATTTTTGGGAACATATTCATCTTTTCATTTTGACAACTTGTATTGGTTTCTATGCATTAGATGAAATAGCCACCTCTCTTGAAGGGTTGGCCTAGTATAGGAGATGTACCTCATCATTCAACCCTACCCCAGCTTTTGATTATCTGTTACTTGTTTTTACTGCCTTTGTCTTTTAACCTTCATACAAGTCTAATAAGTGACTAATCTATTACATTTACTAGATATTTACCTTTATCAGTGTGATGTTTACTTTCATATGTTTTGTTGCTAGTTAGCACCTTTTCTTTTCAGCTTAAATAGCCCCTTTAATATTTCTTATAATGTTGGTTTAGAGGTGATGAACTCCTTTAACTCTTGCTTCTCTGGAAAACTCTACATCTCTCCTTCAGTTCTGAATTACAACTAAGCTAGGTTAGAATATTCTTATTTGGGAGTTTTTTCTTTTTCTTTTTTTCTTTCAGCACTTTGAATACAGACATACCTAGAGATACTGGGGGCAAGGGAGTGGTTAAGTTCCAGGCAACCAAAATAAAGGAAATATTGCAACAAAGCAAATCACACAAGTTCTTTTTTTGTTTTCCAGTACATATAAAAGTTATGTTTATACTGTAATCTATTAAGTGTGCAATGGCATTATACCTTTTTGAAAAGTACATACTGTAAGTAAAAATACAAGACAAAAGCAATTACAGTGGTGATATCAATGGCCACTGATCACAGATCACTATAAGAAACATAATAATGAAAAAGTTTAAAATTCTGTGAGAATTACCAAAACATGATACAGAGACATGAAGTGAGCAGTTGCTCACTTCACTTTTTTACCAGTATACTTGGTAAACTCAGGTTGCCATCAGCCTTCAGTTGGTGGAAAAAACACAGTATTTGTGAAGGACAGTTAAACAAAAAGAAAGTGAGGTATGCCTATGTATTGTGCCATTCCCTTTTCACCTGAAGTTTTCTCATGAAAAATCTGCTCATCTTACGGGGGTTCCAACAAGTTGTTTCTCTGTTGCCACTTTTAATATTCTTTTCTTATATTTTCTTATATATATAATAAAATATATATATTTTAATTATTATGTGTCTTAAGGTCTTCTTTTGGTTCATCATATTTGGAACTCTCTGGGCTTCCTGACTCTTGATGTCTATTTCTTTCCCCGAGTTAGGGAAATCTGCAGCCAATATTTCTTCACATGAGTCTTCTACCCTCCTCTTCTGTGCGTCCAATAGTGTGAATATTAATCCACTTGAGATTGTTTCATGAGTCCCTTAAGCTATCTTCAGTTTTTTTGATACCTTTTTGTTTCTTCTGCTTTGATTGGGTGAGTTCATCTGCCTTGTTTTTGAGTTCATTGATCCTTCCTTCTCCTTTACCTAATGTGTTGTTGAACTCTTCCAGACCATTTTTCAATTCCATTATTGTATTCTTCAAGTCTGTGGCTTCTATTTAATACTTTCTTATATTTTTTATCTTTGCTGAAATTCTCACTGTGCTCATCTGTTCTTCTCCCTAGTTCAATGAGCATGTTTAAGAGCATTACTTTGAACTCTTTCTCTGGTAAATCACCTGTTTTTCATTAAAATTTTCTTCTGAAGTTTTACTTTTTGGAACATATTCATCTTTTCATTTTGACAACTTGTATTGGTTTCTATGCATTAGATGAAATAGCCACCTCTCTTGAAGGGTTGGCCTAGTATAGGAGATGTACCTCATCATTCAACCCTACCCCAGCTTTTGATTATCCCTTCAACCTTTCCAACTGTCTAAACAGCTTATTTTATTATTTTTTAAACTCTTTCATTTTAAATTGGAGTGTAGCTAACTAACAGTGTTGTGATAGTTTCGGGGGACAGCACAGGGACTCAGGCATACGTCTTCATATATCCATTCTCCCCTAAGTTCCCCAACCATCCAGGCTGCCGCATAACACTGAGCAGAGTTCCCTGTGCTGTATAGTAGGTCCTTGTTGGTTATCCATTTTAAATATAGCCATGTGTACATGTCCATCCCAAACTCCCTAACTATCCCTTCCTCCGAACTTTCCCCCCAGCAACCATAAGTTCATTCTCTAAGTTTGTGAGTCTCTCTGTTTTGTAAAAATGTTCATCTGTGTTTTTTTTAGATTTCTCATAAAAGGGATGTCATATGGTATTTCTCCTTCTCTGTTTGACTCACTTCACTCAGTATGACCATCTCTGGGTCATTCCATGTTGCTGCAAATGACATTTCGTTCTAAGCAGGCGTTTTGTGTTTAATAGCTCCCAGTAGTTAAGTGTGTGCTGAGGTCAGTTAGTGCCCCCAAAGGATAGGATCTTAGCACCTAGATTCAACTTGATTGGCAGGCAAACACCCTGGTAGCAACATTTAAAGAATGCAAATATATACAGTTCTGCAGGGCCACGAGTGTAGGCCCCACTGGCCATCAGAGCCAAGTGATTTGGAGATATCCAATGGGAAGCAGTCACAAAAATTAGGTCTCCCATCTTGCATTACTTATCTAACCAGTCTCATCACTTACCCTTAGTTCTATACAGTTAGACTTGAAAATATGTCCCCAGACATGTTCTAAGTAAAAATGCAAATAAGAGATATATACAGCATATAGGATGTTATGCTGTTAGGACATGTGCACACACCTTTTCTCCATGGACACATGTAAGTGCATAGCAGTAGATCTGGAAGAAGGCATCACAAACTGGTAAGAGTGCTTACCTCTTAGGGAGGACATAGGATTGGAGTGAGAGGTCAAGGAACATTTTCAGGTTATCTGTCTGAACTTCTTTGCAGTGATGAAAGATGTATTCAGTACTTGTTTAATTTTAAAAATTTACTTAAAGGGAAAAAGTTTATTGAAGTTGAACTGACAAATGACACTTATTACTTTCAATATTGAATAATAAAAACATAGTAATAATTTAACTTTCTAAAATGGGCAATGGTTAGAAAATGTGGAGACTGGGAAATCTGTAAATGGGAGACACCCTATAGCATGTTCCTTAGAAATCAGCAGTGCTCCCCACACACACACACATCCTGTGTCCAGACCAGCTACCTTCCAGGTTTTTCTAACAGTGTAAGAAAATCAACTCTTAAAAACATGTAGTTATAGAAAAGAAATGACATAAAATTGCATGTTTTAATGTAAATCTCAAGTATTTCTTTACCTCTCACTTGGAAGTTTTAGGCACTTCAATTGTGTACTGTTTCTCTAGCATCCAGAGTAGCAGTTCTCAAGGGGGAGGGACCCAAATCAAAGGGGGGATGCAAACAGACATCCCTGCCGGGAACCCCAGGGAATGGGGAGCCCTGGCTACTGGTGGACTGTGTGTAGCCCATTTGCTACCCTTCGTATCTGAGGGGGATACAAGGCATTCCCTCTGAGGTCCAGCTTTAGTATGACATCGTTATGTCCAAAAAGAAAAGTAAGTCATTGATACAAATATAGCCACACACATCCACCAAAAGCTATTTTCCAAGCAGTCTTCTCTGCTGTGGGATACAAGACCATTTTGTGTTTAACTTGGGTGGCTTCTTTGCTATATATAGTGCTACAGATTTGACAGCATGGGACCAGAATCTTTGGTTCAGATCACAGCTGCTCTGCTTTCTAGAAGTGTGACTTGAACAAGTTATTAAATTTCCCTTGCCATCCCCATCTGTTAAATGGGCATCATATTAGGGGCCTCCCTTGTAATGTTGTTGCAGGTAGTAAATGAGCTAGTCACCATCTGGAGCATCCCTGGCATCCAGGAAAGTATTTAATAAGCTTACCTATTACTTGAGCAAATGCCCATTTTTATAAAGTCAAATAATTACCCAAGACACCCTAACTGGATAAGTATGCTACAATTTGAACATGATACATGAGCTCAAGATGGGCCCCCGGTTTTACTGAGAAACCCATGTGCCCACACAGTATGTGTTATTAAGTGTTGGCTATGTAGGGCTGACTTGGCTAATGGCCATGTTTTAAGGGCAAAACTTCCCTTGGACTAAGGCAGTGCTCAGCACACTGTTAGCCAGACCCCTCCTTCACTGAACCCCCAGAGCCTCTTCAGAGGGATCTCATTTATTCCCACTGGGCTTTGGTCTTTATTGAGAGAATTCAGGATTTAATAAAAAAATCACTGTGAGCCATCTCTGTGGCCGCTTATAAAGTAATAACAGATAAGATCTTAAGGCTCAGCTTGTCGGCCTCTCTGGCATGAGACAGTTTAAACCAAAAAAAGTAAATAAAAAGCTCTGTCTAGTACACAGTGTGAATTCTGACTTTAAACAAAAATGAACTTTGATAGTAACAGCTCTTTATTCACTGGTATTGGCATCTCAAATAGCCTTGAGAAAAATTGTCAAAAGCAAGTGAAATGAGGCCTGCCTTCTTCACTGCACAGGTTGTGGATTTCGGATGCTCAAGGAAACAACCTTGACTATCTTCCTGGACCCAGCAAGGTTCTGGGCTGTGGGAGGAGTAACAGGAAGTGCTGTCCCTGGGCTTCAGACTCGGGGCGCTGCAGTCCTTTGGCCGGCGCAGGCAGGCTAACCTCGCTCCTTTGGGTCTGTGTTGCAGGAATCATGTACCGCAAGTCGTGTGCGTCGTCGGCAGCCTGCCTCATCGCCTCGGCTGGGTACCAGTCCTTCTGCTCCCCAGGGAAACTGAACTCGGTGTGCATCAGCTGCTGCAACACCCCTCTTTGCAACGGGCCCCGGCCCAAGAAAAGGAGCAGTTCTGCCTCGGCCCTTCGGCCATGGCTTCCCAGCACCATCTTGCTCCTCAAGATAGCCCTTTTCTCTGCACACTGCTGAAGACGGAAGGAGATGTCAGCCCCTCCTGCATTGTTCTTCTGGCCTGCCCTCCCCTGCTCCCCGAGATTCTTCTGGGTGTCCTTTTATTCTGGGTAGGGAGGGGAGTCTGTTCTTTTAGTTCCTTTGGAAACAGAGAGCTCAGTGTAAAAAAAAAAGAAAGAAAATCCTTGTGAGCTCTGAATACATAGAGCTTGAATTTTTGGTGTGTCCTTGAAGGAAGGAAGGAAGGAGGTGGGATGCAAGTTGGCCCCATCTGTAATCAGAGTTGAGGCCAGGCTGGCAGAATCAGCTCTTAGCTGACACTTCAGTGGCTGGCTGCTCTTCCCAGGCCGGTCTTCCACTCCTGTCCCTGATGGGAGCACAGTTTCTTATACCACTGCCGTGTGAAGGTAACATGGCTTTCGTGTAAGGAGTGCTGCTTAGCAGTCCAGCCTGCCTTCCTCAGCAGTCACACTTCGTGCTCCTGAAAACCATTCCCAGTGGCAGGGTTGGCTGGTTTCGTCTCCAAGTTGGGTTCTGGTGACTCGCAACTCAGCTCCTGAGGCTTAGACTCGGGCTTGGCCTCACTATGAAAAGTGCTCAAGAAAACCTTGTTAGCTCTTGCAGAGGAACTGCTGCGCCGGGCAGCGGGGAAGATGAGCGGGCGGCGCGCGGAGCGGGCGCTGTCCGTGGTGGAGGCCACGTGGGCGCGCAGGCGCTTCTCCTGGTTGGCGTGCGGCAGCGTCAGGCGGCAGCGCAGCACCTGCCCGAACACGCTGCGGAACTGCTGCGACGACACGTTGTACAGAAGCGGGTTGACGACGGAGCTCAGGTAGAAGAAGGTGTCTGAGAAGGGGAGGAGGATCATGTATGCCCGGAAGTAGGACTTGGTCCAGTCGTGCTTGGGTTTGGCCGCGGCCATGATCCTCCGAACCTGGTTGGGCATCCAGCAGACGGCCAAGGTCACAACAATCAGCCCTGAGCAGGCAAGAGGGAGGGAGAAAAGAGGAAGCAAATCATAAGGCCGNTTAGCTATGTCATATCTTCCACCCTTATGGGGGAAAAAAGGTAATTATCTAAAAATAATGGAAAATATCTAACTTCAGGTTCATAACTCACTAGTTCACTTTTTGTTGCACTAAGCTGTACTGTCAGTGGCCCAGAAAAGATCAGGCCCTAAAAAGATGCCCCCAAGAGGATCAAAAGTTGACTACATGGACAGACGTTTTCATGCCCACGTGTTTGCATTCTGAATTACACCATCACTGCTCTTTTTACAACCTTTGACAGAGAAAAAGATGTCGTGTGATACTTGCTATCACACAGTATTTATCCACAGTGACCAAAAGCATCAGTAAAACAGCAGATGAAGATCAGGCACCTGCAGAACATGTGCTCTCATCTCTCTAGGCGCCAAGACACCAAATGTAAGTTGCTACGTAAACAGCTGATATCTTAGAGCTGTGTTTTGGATTTTTAAGAAACTCCTCCTCTCCTAAATTTAAATAGGAAGAAAAATTCATTCACATTTTCATACCCTCTGATCTTCTAAGAAATTACAGAGAAGTGATTGTTGGCAATGACCCCCTTCTTGTCTCTGATCAATAGTAAATATTCCATTAATGTTCCAGGAAAAACAGCTCTCTTTACCCATCTGGGGTTGGCCCTCCCATACACACTCAGGTGAGGGGCCCTGGTTATATTCTCTGGCACTGAAATTCCCCAGTCCCCCCATCAGTAAATCCTTCCACTATCCCAGCTGTCAGCAAAGAGGGCCCAGGAAACCTGTTCCCCCTGTTAATTTCCAGGGGGTTCTCCTGTCCAGATTCAGCCGGAACTTGAAATACAACCAATTTGCTTCTTTCCTTTGAATTTCCTACCCTTTTCTACCCTGAGAACACTCAGTAAATCTAAAAATAAACTAGGCAAAGTAACATATCGATCTGATGAAAGGAAAAAAAAAAAAAAAAACCCCTTAAGCGTACATTCTGAAACACCTAGTTACAGCTGCTGGATGAGAACAAAAATCAACATTTTTCTGATTATTAAAAAAAACTGCATAGTAAATCAAGGAGTATTTTTTCATTGCTCTGAGAGGGATGGGTGCATCCAGCCACCTGCACTATTCCAAGTGTGTTCTTATTCTTGTGTCTCCTTGTTTTTATCTCATGTAGCTCTGACTGAAAAATTCATCTCATTAATTGTGAAGGAGCCAGGTAGCTCACTTTACCTAAGGGGAGCCAGATATCTTTACCAAATTTTCAATTTTTTCCTCTTGCCACTGAATTTCTGGAAACAAGTAACAACCATCTTCATCGAAGGTCTCATCTCTTAGAACACGGAACCTGAACACAGGGTTTTAGATGGGTTGCTATACTCCACTGTGGGAGGTTGTACTTCGGGAGGCAAGAAAGAGCCACCTTGTAGTTACCATGGGTTGAACCTAGTACAGCTTCTAAAGCAAGGAGAAAGAAAAGGCGGCTGTGTGGGCAGAAGGAAAGAACTTCTACAGTTTTGCTTCTCCTGTCCGTCCTCTTGATCTCTTGTTTACGTGACCCTCATTCTCCCATTACCTTCACCCCCTTTGCCTGGTATCAGTTGTCCTTGAACGACCATCCCATCAAATGGAGCAGAGTTTCATGAAAGAAAGACCCAGCGTCCCAGGTAGGAGGCAAGGGATGAGGGCAGATGAAAGACTCTGGCTGGTTTAGAGTTTTAGAATTCTTGCCCCAACAGTTATAGTAGTAAGTAGGGGGGACCTTAGTCCAGTCCTGGGGTCCCCAGCCTCTGGGATCTAATGCCTGATGATCTGAGGTAGAACTGATGTAATTGTAATAGAAATAACAGGCATAGTAACTGTAATGCACTTGAATCATCCCCCAACCTCTGTCCATGAAACAAAACCAGTCTCTGGTACAAGAAAGATTAGGGACCGCTGCCCTGGTTTGAATAAATAGCAGAAGATGGGGAACCAGACTAGAGATTTTCCATTGATGAGAAAAAAGAAGGCCAAGTTTAGACATGAAAGAAAATACAAATTTTGGAAACAAGGAACTTAGAAATGGTCAACGTCTAAAAGATGAGGCATCAGACAGGTCATGAGATGTAATCAAGAAGGATGCTAATTGCTTACTGTGTTTTCCCTCTGTTAGTTTCAATACTTAGTGCTCTCTGCTAATTTCCTGTGCATTTCTCATGCCTGCTAAGATAAAAACTGCTCTTATCTTCATTTTATAGATGAGGATATTGAGTCTCAGAGGTTAGTTACCCAAGGGCTATAGCCAAGTCATATGCTTACTGGACTTCAAAATCCACAACCTATATTAATTTTTCTCTTGGACACTATTTTCTCTCATTTTCAGTATGAAAAATAAAACACAAGCAAGAAAGTAAACATGGATCCCACTATACATAACAGGTATTAAATAAATAGCACTGTCCACCATAACGGTGCCATATCTTGTCATTTTAAAATCTCAACCACATTTAAAAAGGTGAGATCAATTTTAATCCAGTATGCCACAAATATCATTCCACACATGGTTTCAATGTGTTAACCAATCAAAATACTTATACAGTGTTTTACATTTTTTTCTTACTAAGTCTTTGAAACCCAGTGTAGCTTTTATAGCACGTTTCAGTTGGGACCAGCCTCCTGTGGTTAGTGGCTAAAGGAATCCTTCATTCCCCCTCCCCAAAGCAGCAAGGCTCCTTCTTTCCTCCTCTTCCCAGTCCCGCCATTGCCCACTACCCAGCCACATCCCCAGAGAGTCCTGCCAAACCAAGGAAGCCCCAAGGAATCTCTCACCCAGCCTGTATTTATCCTCCTAAGAGCCTGACAGTGCAGGTAAACCAAGGTTTAATCTGGATCCTATTTCTCATTACACATTCTCAGCTATAGCATAGACCAAGTCCATCCAATCTTTTCCCATAAAGCCTTCCCTATAAGGTATGACAAATTATTTAAAGCCTAAATTCTGAAAGCACGCAATTTTACATTCTAAGCCTTGCATAATCATTCTGGAATAACACAGACTGTGCTAAATACCTGCCAGAGCTGCTCGAATAAACTTCCCTATCTCAACTGGAGGTGGGGAAGATAACTGGTACCTTTCCTCTTGTGCTTTGAAAGATGATTTTGTGCTAGGAAAATGAAGCTGACCCAGCATCCCAGGTAGGAGGCAAGGGATGAGGGCAGATGAAAGACTCTGGCTGGTTTAGAGTTTTAGAATTCTTGCCCCAACAGTTATAGTAGTAAGTAGGGGGGACCTTAGTCCAGTCCTGGGGTCCCCAGCCTCTGGGATCTAATGCCTGATGATCTGAGGTAGAACTGATGTAATTGTAATAGAAATAACAGGCATAGTAACTGTAATGCACTTGAATCATCCCCCAACCTCTGTCCATGAAACAAAACCAGTCTCTGGTACAAGAAAGATTAGGGACCGCTGCCCTGGTTTGAATAAATAGCAGAAGATGGGGAACCAGACTAGAGATTTTCCATTGATGAGAAAAAAGAAGGCCAAGTTTAGACATGAAAGAAAATACAAATTTTGGAAACAAGGAACTTAGAAATGGTCAACGTCTAAAAGATGAGGCATCAGACAGGTCATGAGATGTAATCAAGAAGGATGCTAATTGCTTACTGTGTTTTCCCTCTGTTAGTTTCAATACTTAGTGCTCTCTGCTAATTTCCTGTGCATTTCTCATGCCTGCTAAGATAAAAACTGCTCTTATCTTCATTTTATAGATGAGGATATTGAGTCTCAGAGGTTAGTTACCCAAGGGCTATAGCCAAGTCATATGCTTACTGGACTTCAAAATCCACAACCTATATTAATTTTTCTCTTGGACACTATTTTCTCTCATTTTCAGTATGAAAAATAAAACACAAGCAAGAAAGTAAACATGGATCCCACTATACATAACAGGTATTAAATAAATAGCACTGTCCACCATAACGGTGCCATATCTTGTCATTTTAAAATCTCAACCACATTTAAAAAGGTGAGATCAATTTTAATCCAGTATGCCACAAATATCATTCCACACATGGTTTCAATGTGTTAACCAATCAAAATACTTATACAGTGTTTTACATTTTTTTCTTACTAAGTCTTTGAAACCCAGTGTAGCTTTTATAGCACGTTTCAGTTGGGACCAGCCTCCTGTGGTTAGTGGCTAAAGGAATCCTTCATTCCCCCTCCCCAAAGCAGCAAGGCTCCTTCTTTCCTCCTCTTCCCAGTCCCGCCATTGCCCACTACCCAGCCACATCCCCAGAGAGTCCTGCCAAACCAAGGAAGCCCCAAGGAATCTCTCACCCAGCCTGTATTTATCCTCCTAAGAGCCTGACAGTGCAGGTAAACCAAGGTTTAATCTGGATCCTATTTCTCATTACACATTCTCAGCTATAGCATAGACCAAGTCCATCCAATCTTTTCCCATAAAGCCTTCCCTATAAGGTATGACAAATTATTTAAAGCCTAAATTCTGAAAGCACGCAATTTTACATTCTAAGCCTTGCATAATCATTCTGGAATAACACAGACTGTGCTAAATACCTGCCAGAGCTGCTCGAATAAACTTCCCTATCTCAACTGGAGGTGGGGAAGATAACTGGTACCTTTCCTCTTGTGCTTTGAAAGATGATTTTGTGCTAGGAAAATGAAGCCCTGGCCACATAGGTACAGCCAATGGCCAACGTAAAGTGTATGCCCATAGACAGTGTGATATACAGGTTAGCCTTGGTGAGGAGGAAGGAATCAAATTAGCCCCCTTATAAACTTGTTTTATATTAACAGGTAAATTGCTCATGTTTACATTTGAAAACAAAAGTTCATTATTTTAGATGACACATCGCTGAGAATAAACACCATATCCAACAGTAACGTTTTATGTTGGTGGTTTACAACTGGTTCAGCTCCTGTCTCCGCTTCTCCAGAGCTGAGACAAAGCTTTAAAATTGTATTCATGCCTTAATA